TCTCTCTCCCTCCCTTGACTCTTTTCCAACTTTTCCTTCTTCCTCTCCTGCTCTCTGTGTCAGATGTTCAGTTATTCCTCTGCCTCCTTTAGTGATAATGGGATGTGTAATAAGTGTAGTATTTTTGTAGCTTTGGAGGCGAGGGTGTCAGAGTTAGAATCCAGGCTTCAGGCTGTTGAACATCCAGGAGTTAAAGTAGGCCCCCCACGTAGCTGTCCTCCAAAAGTGCCTGAGCAGCCAGGCGATTGGGTAACTTTACGCAGAAAGCGTAGTCGTGGATCTCTGCCCACTGGTCACCACCAACCCGTTCACGTTTCTAACCGGTTTTCCCCACTCAGTGACACACCCACTGAGAAGCCCACTCTGGTGATTGGCAGCTCCATAGTCAGAAACGTGGCATTAGAGACACCAGGGACCATAGTCAAATGTTTGCCGGGGGCCAGAACGGGCGACATCAAATCCTACCTGAAACTGCTGGCTAAGGATAAGGTTAAATACAGTACGATTGTTATTCACGCTGGTGGTAATGACACCCGGTTACGCCGATCGGAGGTCACTAAAATTAGTGTTGCTTCGGTGTGTAAGTTTGCCAAAAAAATGTCGGACTCCGTAATTTTCTCTGGTCCCCTCCCTGATCTGACCAATGATGACATGTTTAGCCGCATGTCGTCATTCAACCGCTGGTTGTCTAGGTGGTGTCCTGAAAACAACGTAGGCTACATTAATAATTGGCAATCCTTTTGGGGAAAGCCTGGTCTGATTCGGAGAGACGGCATCCATCCCACTTTGGATGGTGCAGCTCTTCTTTCTAGGAATCTGGCCACATTTATTAGTCCTCCAAAACCCTGACCACCCAGGGTGCAGACCAGGAAGCAGAGTTGTAGTTTAACACACATCTCTGCAGCTTCTCTACTGTTACCCACTCTTTACTCCATCCAGACAGTGTCTTGCCCACGACCAAAATCTAATAAATTAACAAAGATTCCCAAAGGAGTAAATCATGATAATCTAATTAAAATCAAAATAACTCCAATTGGGGAAAAAGTTAAAACAATTAAATGCGGTCTGTTTAACATAAGATCTCTTTCCTCTAAAGGTCTGCTAGTTAATGACTTGATTTGTGATAATCACATTGACTTGTTTTGCCTTACAGAAACCTGGCTGCAGCAAGAGGATTATGTGAGCATAAACGAGGCAACTCTTTCAAGCTATTTAAATTTTCACATACCCAGAAGTTCTGGGCGAGGAGGAGGAGTAGCAACAATCTTCCAGTCTGACTTACTGATTACTCCCAAAACAGTTAATACCTACAACTCTTTTGAACATTTAACCCTTAATTTCCCTCATCCAAATTTCAAGGCAAGAAAACCTCTTCTTTTTGTAACTTTGTATCGTCCGCCAGGTCCTTACTCTGAATTTTTAGATGAGTTTTCAGAGTTCCTTTCTGATTTGGTATTAAATACTGACAGGGTCATCATAGTGGGAGATTTTAACATCCATGCTGACATTGAAGGCGATAGCTTAAGAGCAGCCTTTAATGCTATCTTAGACACTATTGGCTTTGTTCAAAATGTGAATAGTCCCACACATTCTCATCTTCATACTTTGGATCTTGTGCTGACATACGGCATAGAATGTGAAGAAATAACAGTATTTCCTCACAACCCTGTCCTCTCTGACCACTTTCTAATAACCTTCAGGATTACTTTAACAGAGTTCTCCTCCCCCAAAAGAAGGTTCAATTTTAGTAGATCTTTATCAGATGGTGCAGTTATAAATTTTAAAGAATCTGCTTCACTTTCTCTCTCCTCTGTGTCGCTGAGCAGTGCTGCAGAGTGCAAAAGCATAGCTTATTCCCCTTCACAGGTTGATGATTTTGTTGATGGGGTTGCTAGTTCTCTGCGTACTGCCTTAGACAACGCAGCTCCCTTGAAAATGAAAACCGTTGAAAATAGAAAGCTTGCTCCTTGGTTTAATGCAGAGTTGCGTACTTTGAAGCAAAATGCTAGGAAACTGGAGAGAAAATATCGCTCCACAGGCCTGCGGGAGTCCTTCCTAGTCTGGAAAAATGGTTTACTGCTGTATAAGAGGACCCTTTCTAAAGCAAGAGCAGCATACTTCTCCTCATTAATAGAGGAGAATAAGAATAATCCTAGATTTCTTTTTAATACAGTTGCCAAACTCACCCAGAGCCATAGCTCTGTTGAACCGTCCATTCCACCTGCTCTTAGCAGCAATGATTTTATCGGATTCTTTATAAATAAGATTGATCTTATTAAAAATAAGATCATAAGCACTCCTCTATCCGCGATTGTACCTGAGGTAGTCATGGAATCTGAACCGGGTTTAGACTGCTTTGATCCAGTTGAACTTTCTGAATTAGCAAAATTTTTGTCTTCATCTAAGCCTTCAACTTGTATGTTAGATCCAGTTCCAACCAGGTTATTTAAGGAGGTATTCCCTTTGATCTCCTCCTCCATTTTAGATGTGATTAATCTATCTCTGTTACAGGGATATGTACCTAAAGCTTTTAAGGTTGCTGTAATTAAACCTCTGCTTAAGAAACCGTCTCTTGACCCAGATGACTTGGTTAATTATAGACCTATATCCAATCTTCCTTTCTTATCCAAAATTCTTGAGAAAGTAGTTGCCAAACAAGTTTGCGACCACTTACACCATAATGAACTTTTTGAAGAGTTGTAGTCTGGCTTTAGAGCTCATCATAGCACTGAAACAGCTCTGGTGAAAGTCACTAATGATATTCTCATGGCCTCAGATAATGGACTTGTATCTGTGCTCGTCCTGTTGGATCTTAGTGCTGCATTTGATACAGTTGACCATAATATTCTTTTAGAAAGACTTGAATATTTTGTTGGAATTAAAGGAACAGCACTAGACTGGTTTAAATCTTATCTATCTGATCGAATTCAGTTTGTTTATGTTAATGATAGATCTTCAACACGCTCAAAGGTTACCTGTGGAGTACCACAGGGATCAGTGCTAGGACCAATTCTCTTTACTTTATACATGCTCCCAATTGGTAGAATTATTAGACAGCATGGGATTAATTTCCACTGTTATGCTGATGATACCCAGCTATATCTGTCTATAAATCCAGATGAAGCTAACCCATTACATAGATTACAGGCATGTCTTGAAGACATAAAAACCTGGATGACTCTTAACTTTCTGCTTCTGAATGCAGACAAAACAGAAGTTATAGTCTTTGGACCAGAGTCTCTGAAAAAGAAGCTGATTAGCCAGTCACTTCATTTGGATGGGATTAAACTGATTTCAGATAATAAAGTAAAAAATCTTGGTGTTATTTTTGATCAGGACCTGTCATTTAAATCCCAGATCAAAGAGGTTTCTAGAATTTCCTTCTTTCATCTGAGGAACATTGCAAAAATTAGAAATCTCCTGTCCAGGGGTGATGCTGAGAAACTAGTCCATGCATTTGTTACTTCAAGGCTGGACTATTGTAATTCTTTACTATCAGGAAGTCCACAAACTGTAGTTAAAAGCCTTCAGCTGATCCAAAATGCTGCAGCCAGAGTTCTGATGAAAATTAAAAAGAGAGATCATATCTCTCCTATCCTGGCTTCTCTTCATTGGCTTCCTGTTAAATCAAGAATTGAATTTAAAATCCTCCTTCTCACATATAAAGCCTTAAATGGCCAAGCTCCATCTTATATCAGAGATCTGATTGTTCCTTATGTTCCTAACAGAGCACTTCGCTCTCAATCTGCAGGTTTACTAGTGGTTCCTAGAATTTCTAAAAGTAGAATGGGAGGCAGATCTTTTAGTTATCAGGCTCCTCTCCTGTGGAACCAACTACCAGTTTTAGTCCGTGAGGCAGACACTCTGTCTACTTTTAAGACTAGGCTTAAAACTTTCCTTTTTGATAAAGCTTATAGTTAGGGTGGCTCAGGTTATCCTGAGCTGTCTTTAAAGTTATGCTGCTATAGGCTTAGACTTTTGGAGGACATAGGGACCCCCATTTCATCATTCTGCTTCATTCTCTCTCTGTTCTCCTATTCTGCAGAATCTGTTTGTTCAATCTCTAACGTTCTGCTCTCTCTGCTTTTCCTCAGAGTAGCTTTGCCTCGTCTGTTCCTGTTTGGCTGTGACGTCATCCAGGAAAGAAACATCAGCTGTGCTGCTTCCATCAACACCCTTGTTTGTAGATGTTGGAGATCGTCCTGTTTTCCAGTGTGGTCCTGTTTCTCTGGCCGTGACTGGGTGGATGTGCTCTCTTCATCCTCTGGCATGGGAGCTGCCTTGGAGCTCGTCTGCCTGGCTGTGTGTTTCCTGGACGGGGCCGCCTTTTACAGCTGCTTTTTGTATCTCTGCTTCTGTCTCCTTGAACCCCAGTCGGCCTCGGCAGATGGCCGCTCACACTGAGCCTGGTTCTGCTGGAGGTTTCTTCCTGTTAAAAGGGAGTTTTTCCTCTCCACTGTCGCTACAAGCATGCTTAGTGTGAGGGATTGTATTTGAGTCAATGAGTCAATGCAATCAACTGGTTTTCCTTAGATAGAAAACTTTGTATCAATTTGACTGTATGATCTGGTTAAACTGTAAAGTGCCTTGAGATGACATGTGTTGTGAATTTGGCGCTATATGAATAAACTGAATTGAATTGAATTGAATTGAATTGAATTACAAAGGTAGCATAAAATCTGAGTTAAGAAAATATCTTTGCTCTCGTATGAGCCAGCTCTGCCTCTGATTGTGTCGGAAGCTGTTTTTATGACTAAACATCGCTAAACTTAGAAAAACAGGATTCTTCCTCATGAGTTTGACTCTAATCTATTTTATCTCCCACTGTTCCAGTTTTAGGATCTCGCTCCGTAGAGCTACCAGAGCGTTTGTTTACCTCCTCTTGGTTTCTAAATGTGACATCATTTAGAGATGAGTCACACACAAATAAAAAAAGAAACAGCTCATTCTCATCACCATGTGATGGATATTTCCCCAATTCCAGCGTGTCTCTTTCTCACCTCGTTGGTGTTCCAGCGATGGCGCTCCTTGGGCAGAGAGGAACATTTGGGTAGACACTCCAGCAGCTTCTTGGGAAGGTAGATCTTTAACTGGCCTGGCTCATCTTGGGTCAAATGGAGGAGACGGGGAGGAAGCAAGAGAAAGGTGAATTATAATGAGCAAAAAGAATAAAGAAAAATATATCAAATCTGTAAACGAGCAGTTAAAATAACTATAGATTATTCATCATTATGTACTATTACAACAGCTTTGTTGACAATAGGAAGAAATTTTACTTTGTTTATTTTTATTTTATTTTATTTGGCACATAAAGGCAACAATTTTAATTCATTTTAGACCGTTTTTGCCTTTCTAATGTATTAAAGATACAAACAGAGAATATTTGGCATAACAGCAATTGAGGATGTCAGGCTAAGAGTTTGAATTCCCCTGAAAGCGTGTTATTGTTAATTGTCTGCATGGATTCTGCGTCATCTAGGTCATGGTTATCCAAGTTTTTAAGCCAGAGGCAGTTTTTTTGGCTCTTGAAATCATGATTCCTCAATAGACCAATGAGCCAAAAGGAAAAATATTAACTCTTGGATGAAAAGATAAAAAAAAAAAAAGGAAAATAAGTAGTGTGTTTGCTTTCTATTGGAAATTTAGGATTATTTCAACTGAATTACTACGACTAACATATACTAATTGTTATTTTCACGTCCCTCTGCAGCCTGTGAGTCAGTGTACAAAAACAATTAATTCTAATTCAGAGCTGAAAGGCGGCACTTTTACTTTTGGACATCAGGTGGAGGTGCGCCATGAATCTACTCAAAAACAGATTTTGGATTAAGCCGAATCCATTAGCATACATTATCTGTGCATTAGGGTTCGGTAAATATAACGGCCAGCCGATCACATGGGCATTTCTTATCCTCTTTAAAAGCAGTTCTCTCCCCACAGTGTTGCATAGACAGTTTGGTAATGGAGTGGAGAATCCCAAAATAGCTGCTCCTGTGAGGAAACTATTTCTGTGCAAGAGCTGGATAGTCACAGGCTTAGGGCAGGTGATGTGTAATTCTGAGTTCAAATTATGTCTCTGGACACAGTCCCAGTCTTTGGGGGCAGTGAAGCACAATCTAGAATAATAGGGATTGGGGACAAAAACACAGCCTGGTAAAATTAGTTTACCTTTGCTTCCCTGGCTTGATTTAATTTCACATGACTTAAATTGTGTTATGTTTGATCAAGAGATGCATAAATCACTTAAAAAACAGTCTATCTTCGGCAAAACTGTATTGAACGCCGATCAGCCAACGAACATGCAGTCATTAAGACACCATATAATCCCACAGTAAACCTAAAAGTAATTCATTAGACTGGGTAGCTAAAACTCATTATTTAGTTAGATTTCTGCATACTTAAAGGCGTTGTTAGTGGAACATCTTCTTTTTTTAATAACATTTAACTCCAACCTATGGATAAATCAGAATTGTCTGTGTTTTAGTTAAGAATTACTTAAATAACTTAATAAAGAGAGACTTTAGTGTAATGAGGAAGTACTTGTGCAGATTTTGACCTCATTGGCTGAACAGTTGGCAATGGGTACGGCTCATGCTCACATACTATAAGTCAGGTTTCTGCTAGATTCAATAGGGGCTGTTCAATGTGGCTGCTTAGCATGTAGTAGGCTCGTGTGATGAAATAATCACCATGTTAATAATAAATTGATTATATTATAATATGTAAAGGATAAAGGCAGCTAACCTTTTACAATTTTTCTAGAATTTAAGCGTCCCTTCCCTATATCTGTTAACAGAATGTAGCACAGAAAACTATTGGCAAATAAAAAATGTGTAAATAACTAGAAACTTTAAAAAGTTTTATCAATTTAAAATGAGAAGCACAGCTTGATATGTGTATATGTTCTTAAAAATCTTTTGAGGTTTATGTTTGTGAAAATACTCTGTGTGCTGTTCTTTGATAACTTAATCATCTATGTTTTTGTCAATAAATTCCTGAAACACACACAAACTTTAAAAAACAAGCTCACATAGAAGGATTTAAATGGTTTTCCTTGCATAAAGAGAAAAGTAAGGAATCCTGAACCTAATATCATGGGTTAATACAACCTCATTAGCTTCCTGTTTCTACTGACCTCAGTCCTTTTTAATGATTGACTTCCAGCAATTTTCTTAGAAAATCTGGTGTGTATTTCCAGCATACTGCCACTGCAAAAAAGTACTCTTGGATTAGTATTCCTAGCTATTTAAAAGGTGTTATACTTTCTAAAGAAACAAACAAACAATTGTATTGTCCAAGAATTTAACCCTGGGCAGCTCCAGATGATCACCACAGCGAGACATCTGTGTAATCTAATGCACAATTGGAGAAAATGTAAGAGTTTTCTTTACTGCAAACCTTTTCTAAATAAAATATTACCAATATTCATTTAAAAAATCAAGATGTTCAGATAAACTCCCAATTTTTTTCCAGAAATCTAAAATAGTAACAGAACTTAAAAATCTGATATGAGTAACTTTATACTTTTCTCAGCCTCAACAAGTCAAGGATTGGAGTCAATAACTGGAAAATTACATTTGAAACAACTTATATACTGTGTCTTAATAACTAAGTATGTTTAAAGGTGACTGTCTATTTATTAGCACAAACACTGACCCAATGTTATACATGTGTCCCCCAAAGGTGGCCTGCTCAAAGAGAACGAGAACTCAAAGGTTTTTGATAAGCGTTTGAGTAGAGGACATCCATTTATGACTCCCCGAGGATGATAGGGCATACAATCTAAATGGAGGTGGATGACAAAGCAAGAGACGATAGAGGTGGGGAGGGTTCAGGTGGAGAGGCGTAGGGATGAGGGAAGACATTGAGGAAAATAGCAGACAGGAGGTAAACTTGAGAGGGAAAAAAAGATTCACAAAGTAGGAAAACAGCAACATGAAAAACTTTGATAAGCTAAACTAGATCTGTTCATGTGTGTATGTCTGATGGTATAGGGATATATCTAAGCATGTGTGTGTTTTGTCAGTTAGAGGAGTGTTCAGGCACGTATGCTCCCCCTAATCAATTATGCATTTATTAATAGAAGGCCTGAGAAGACAGAATTTCAAACAGCTGAACTGCGCAGCAGCTTAGTTAAACAGCTGAATGGTGCAGCTTAGTTAAAGCCTAATTTCTTTTTTAGCAGCACTCCAGCCTCTCTGCTATGAATGCCAATCAGGGTTTAGACCCCACCCCTCCTCAATATACCCCCCCCCCCCCCCCCCCCCCCCTCCTTTTACCCTGCTGTTCTGAAGAATTCTCATCACAGCCCTGCCTTTGAAATGTACCAGAACCACCACATCAAACAAGCCCGTTTGCACATGTGGAGGCAAACCCATGCACACAGAAATGCATGCTCATACATACAAACAGACAACACATGCAGAAAAGACTGTCGATCAAAGGAAACACGTCGCCCAAATTGTCCCAGGCCTTTTTTTTTTGTTTCTAACACTCTCTTTCTCCCCAACCAGTGACCTTGCTTCTATAATCCCTTTCAAAGCACACTTTCATGCATGCGATCATCGTCCTAACCTGTCCTTAAAATTTGTTCTCCCCTGCTGATCAGGACCAGCATACACACATACATACACAGGCGTTTGCAGATTTCCTGAATGCTGATGAGTTGTTTTTTTTTTTCTTTTTTGCACCCAGTAGAGTTGTGTGTTGTGTTTCTAACAACCCTGAATCAGAGAATTACAGAGAATGAGTCCCAGTTTAAAACAAAACTAGCACCCGAGTAGTCCTCTGTTCTGTTTTGTCTGAAACAGCTCTCAATGGATCTGATGTGACAAAAAAAAAAAAAACTCTAAAACTAAAAACTACAACCTCTCTTGTTCTCTGGCTCCTCACCAAAACTCATCCATCCTGGGACTCAGGAAAATAAAGCAGATCTGAAAATGAAAGAACTTTTTTTTTTTTCTTATTTGGATTTGTTTGCAGTGAGGGACAAATTGCTGCCTGTATGCAGATGACATACTGACTTGCAAATTAGATGAAAATTGCCCCAAAAAAATGACAAAGCCTGAATTCTGAAGCAAAATTGCTGAACTAAAGTGAAAAATATCAAACCAGGACTTAGACCGTAATCACACGGAAAAGGCGACTGCATCAGATGAATATTTTACCTCATAAAACTGTCATCTCCATATTTAACACAGAAACAAGCCAATGCCAATGCCAAGCCAATTATAAAACTCTACTCAGCAAAGAGAGAGGAAAAAAAAAAATTGCTCCAAATGCAACTCTTAACCCCCCCCCCCCCCCCCCCCCACCGATATTAGGAGGCGTCGGGGGAAATTTTCACATTTCTCCCCTCTTTTTTTTTCCAGGATGAAATTAATGTCACAGAAAGAAAGGCTCATTGCACAGCAGCTTGATAGAGGGATGGAAGGGGAGGCAGGAGATACGAGAGAGAGAAACACGGGGCAGAGAGAAGATTGAGAGGGGGCGGAGGGGAAAAAAAGGAGCGCAAGGGGAGGAGGGAAAGGATAGAAAGATGGGCGTGCATGCTAATTTTATCATTCTGCTGATAAACTTTTCCTCCAGTAATCCTCCGGCTGGGACGTGACAACCGATAGGAGACAGGGATAGGCTCAGGAAGCTTCAGTCTGTGTCTTACCGTCATCCCGAAGAGAACCTTCTATTCTTTATTTCTTTATTCTGAGATAAATAACGATTTTGTCTTACAACTGTTTCTTCCTTCCATCTTAACGAGGTCTAGTGAAGCCATCCCATCCCTTTCAAAGAAACATGACAGCATGGGAAGTTGCAAAGTTTGCTGAGGTGGTGCAGAGGTTGCTTTGTGTGTGTGTTGAGTTGTGTGTATGTCTATATCCGGTCCAAGACTGTATGGGGACCAGAGCAGAATATACATGAACATAGTGCTTTCTAATTACCATTAATCCATGTTAGGAACAATGCATTAGAAAAAAGTAGTAAATTATTGTAATATATTGTATTTGGCAGTAAAAGAGAAATGTCATGCTTCACCAACTAAATTTTGGTCATATTATCATAGTTCCTAAGGCTGGCAACGCATTTCAATCTGATATGTTGGTTTTAAAAAAATAACCCATGGCGAACAGCTTAAAGAGATGTTTCTAAAACAACAGAAGAAGTTTTGAAACATTACAAGAAGACGGTTTTGCAACAACACAAGAAAAAGACGTTTTAAATAATTAGAAGAAGATAGTTGTGACTACCCAATCCGTACCAGATGTACGATGGCTACCATTGGCTCATTTGTGCGTGTGCATGCAGATATTCATCCAGGTCACCATAAATAATGTAATCATGGTACTAAAAGTACTTATTGCTGCCCTTAAATCACTAAAGAATGATAATGCACATCTTTAAAACTTATTTTTATAACTTTTCTTAGACAATTTGATGCTTTTTACATTTTCTCCATTAAACTGCTGATGTGATGCAGTGCGGTTAAATATAATTAAACCATGTTTATCTGCATTTTAGTTTGCTTTCTTTAGGTTACGCACTATATACCATAATGTTAACATTAGAGGAAAAAAAAAAACTCAAAAAGACCAGATTTATTAATCTGAAGTCAAAAACGTTAGCGCCCGGAAGTAGCGTAGGATCCTAAATCCGGTTCAGATCTGGCACAGACAAGTGATAAAAACAGAAAGGATTTATTGCATTTATTTTCTAAGGAAACACATTATTAACCTTTAACACATTATAGCTTAGTACGCTTACCATTTTTAAGGAAGGAAAAACTAAATTTGGTATTTTTTTCTAAGTAAAATTGAGGGCAACCCGAATGTATTCCTGGTTGTGCAAATGAGCTGATGGTATGGATCGTCCTTCTGGTACAGAATGGGTAGTGACAATGGTTTTAAAACAACAGAAAAAGAAGTAGACATTTTTTTTTTAAATTTAAAGAACAAAAATAAGATGTTTTTTAAAACATTAGAAGAAAACTGTTTGAAAAAAACAGAGGAACAAGATTGATACAAATATCAGTTTGAGTGGCTATAGTCACACTAATTATCGTTAATATTAATGTTCATTTTGAAATAACCTAAACTACTGTCATGTTTTGTTTCATAGTAATTGAAACTTTTGTTGTTAATCCTTGTGTGGCCACATTATCTAATTAATGAGGCATAAACAGAGCATTTGTCATGTCCTGCAATGGTTTTCATGTTTTGCTATTCTATATCATTTTATTTTTGTGATTCAGCTATTCATGACAAATGATTGCACACCTTCACTTTATAGTGCCTTGTCTTGTATGGTTGTTTTGGCAAAAGCAAGTAAAAAGTAATCGGTAACATTACACAGATGGTAAAATTGTAAAAAAATATTACTTTCTATCAAATGTAACTTTTTATTTGTAATACATTACATTTTTGAAGTAACTTCAACTCTGCTATTAATGATATTTCCTATTAATATTCAACTTATATCACTAACATCTCTACTGTGTTCTGAAATGTAGAAATTATGTTTGTCAATCATGGCAAGGAGGCTAGAAGCAATGATTTTGAAGCTTTGTATGTCTGTTCTGACTAACTAACTAACCAACTAACCAACTAACTAACTAACTAACCAACTAACTAACTAACTAACTAACTAACTAACTAACTAACTAACTAACTAACTAACTAGGTATACCATCAGTATAATCCTGTTATTATTATACAAACTAGAATGATAGAAACCAGTATGGCAGGGGCAGTTTTATTATTCCCTGTTTATAACAGCTGAAAAAAAAAACCCGGGCCAGCTCTTTAAAAGACAGAAAAATGTAAACAATGTTTTAGCCCATAACCTTCTTTTTTACTTGAAAATGGTCCTACAGTTCAAAGAGCAAAGGTGAAGCACGGAGCCTAGCTAGTTTGATGGAAGTTAGCCACACACGCTAGCATTGCTATAGACATTAGCACAGCATTCCTATAGAAAATGATATTTAGATTGCTCTACTCATGTTTCCTCATCTAAACAAACCATTAACACCTATAAATGTTCCATATGAGCCAATAGAATATGGTTAAATAAAAGTATATTTTACATGGCTAACAACATAACTATAACATATAACGGTTGTTTATTTTGCAATCGACAAAAGTATCCAGCGTGTCATAGATCTGCCTTTATTTTGAATGGGCCAAACTGTTTAACGCCCCAGAAACCCAACTTTCTTGGTGTTCCTTTGGAAAAACTCTCCAAATAAATGCCTCTGGCTCAAATCAGAAGATGGCGTCATTTCCAGATCCAACACCTGACCACCCAGACAAATCGAAAGCAGTATGCCATTTGGGCCAGCTCTGTGTGTCTTTATATCACACGTTTCTGTTCGCTCCTCCTTCCATCTCTTTATTTGCCTCCAATTTTTCCCCTCTAACAGACTTACATGTGCCCCGTGTCCTCTGAAATCGATAACCAATCAAAGCAATTATTGCCTTTATAATCCCACTAACACAACAAGACAACCACACACCACGTGGCCTCCTGCGCACACACACATGCTCCAAAGTACACGCTCCATCTCACTACTGGTTTAGCAAGCGCCATTGAGGATTATAGATACATAACGCCAAGTGTACAGATTAAATACGACAATAAAGTACTGATAGCCGAAGTCGTCCCTGCCTGTTGTATCGTTGAGTGTGTGCGCACGTGCACTATTACTATAACGGCATGCATGAACAAACACGATTTGTGACAAGAGCTGAATTACAATGAAGCCTCCGCAGAGAGACAGGCAGATAGAGCGTGTGTCTGAGGGTGTTTGTATGTGATCTGTTAAAGGGTGGATGAGAAGGAGTCCTCAAACCCCCCCCCACACACACACACACACACATACACACACCCCAGACACAATCGCCAGCACACACCCTCCCTTCCCTTCACATCATCCTGCCAGAAGGCTTTTATACTTGCTCCCACAGTCACCCTGTGCTGCAGACAAATGCCTGTGTGGCACTTAAACACCCTCGTTCGCAGACGTGAGTGCCTAACTGTGGGAAGAGCGTTTCGTGTGTCTCTTACTGTTGGCGTCGGATTCATCACTCTTGGGAGGGGTGTGTCCTGTGTATCCAACAGCGATCCTGACCATTCGCTCGGGGTTTCGTATCTTCTTCAGTCCTACAGAAAGAAAAGGAGAAGAGAAATAGAGGAAAACATAAGGGTTAATTAAAATAAAAAAGATTTCACTCTTCCCTTTCTTCTAACGCCTCTAAACTTCACGAGACGTATGCATGGGATGACCTGCTAACTTGGAATCGATTGCGTCCCCGAATCGATTGGCCACAGTAGATGCCCTGCCTCCGTGTGTGCGACTAACTTGTACCTAGGTTTTAGTTTCTCTTCTCTCCCATCATTTCTCTGTTTCCCTGACCACTGTTGCTATGATACAAAGTAGTCCAACCAGTGCAGAGGGAGATGGTCTTCCCGGCTATATGGTGGATGCCGTTCTCATGCCCACTCCTGGTGTTTGGCGCCACGCACACACCTACACACATAAACGCACACACAGATCTGCCAGGGAATGGAAAGAGTGAATGGCTGTCTCCTGACTCCATGGCTAAGACTCATTTGGCTTTTAGTCAGTATGACTGAGACTTGTAAATCATTGCCTTAATTCCACACATCGCTGCAAATGTTGGAGTCGGTCTATGTATGCATGTGGGGAACATTTAGGCGCTACAGTTTTTTTTCTGAGCTGCCCATGGGCCTTCTGTCTCATCAACGCTTCTGGTCTTAACACGCAAGGGGACTCTCAACCCACGGCCTTCCCTTCGCCTCAGGCAACATGCTGCATGCTCGCTTGCATGCATGTATGTGTATCTTCTTTTGAAGTCTAGGATGCCAAAGGAAAAAAATTGTTTTTAAAAATGTTAGAAACCTACCATTCTCTCTATCCGTGTTAACTAAAAAAAAAAATGCCCCCAAGAGAAATTCTGCTCTTAGTTGTTCCCAAGTGGGGAGGGTGTTAAAACCTTCCTCTATCTGAAACAGAGTTAAGAAGGGTCAAATAATAAATTAGGCTGCATGGATATGTATCAAGTTTCAGATGAGAAAAGCCATCTTTAGCATTCGGTTTTATTTAATATGTAGGGGTTTCTGGTACATATGTTTGGGTTTTTTTTATTATAAAATACCCCAGGTACTCGTGAGTTAAGATTAACGTTCTGAAACTGAACCCTAAAAAAGCACGCCTGTGTGATATAAGAGCACTTTGCTTCCAGACTGCAGGTTTTTTTGTGGTTCCTGGAGTTTCTAAAATTAGATGACGTTATTTACAGGAGTTTCTTCCCTGCAGAAACAGCTTCCAGCTTTGTCGGTAAGGTGGACACCCTTTCTTCTTTTAAAACTACTTTTAAAATGGTCATTTTTATCAAGTTAACATTTTGAGTTTTACTAAGCTATTACAGTTATTTTTTAACTTTTTTCTTCTTCTGAAAGAAGATGCAGTTTGCTTTGCACTTAACTATGAATCTTTCCTGAACAAATCTGATGAAAGAAGTAATGCCTCCCTCCAAACTCACTATGATCCCAGCACTTATATGTTTAGTTGTGTTTTGTTCCCAGATGAAGCCATAAACTCCAGCCATTATTTTTTTATGTATATTTCTAAATAAAAGTGCTTCTTTTTAATTTTCATTTCCAGCTTTTCTCTGTATGTTTTTTTTTTTTACTGACAGAAGTCTGGTCTGACAGAAGTCTGGTCAAATCCAGAACTTGGCTAAGCCAAGTTCTGGATTTGAAAATATGAGAAATATTACAACATTTGCTGTGAGCCCACCAACTACCCAGTCAAGCTCCAGTATCCATTATATTTGAAGGTATGTGCATAATGGTAAACTACAATAAGGTGATCAGATTGTGATTTGTGATGCTAGCGGCAGTTCAGTTTTTGCAGATCATGATTTTTTAAATATATATATATATTCATTATACAGTAATTTGGGAAATTCACGGGAGCACAGCGGCAAAGAGGGGTTTAATACGATAGTTTCTCGACCAAAATGGGAAAATTGACAGCTATGTTCTACAGGAGGTTCCTACTTGTTAAAACTAAGTTGTTTCTTTCCACTGTAGCCACATTTCTTTTCAAGAGGGTAGATTGATAAGATAATGATTAGATAAAATCGGGGTTTTTTATGATAAATAACTTTAAACCAGTTTACCATTTTTGATCAAACTGAATCTGAGTAATAATGAGAAAAAAATAGGGTATAAATAAAAAAATATAAAAGATTGAAATACATATTCTTAAAAGTTTATCAAACTGTTCTACAAAACACTTCTGTTTACAAATAATGGAACATTGTTTTTTTTGCATAAAGAAATCCCATAATTTGTAAGACCTGTGCTGAACTCAATTTTGGTCCCATCATTAGTTTTAAATACAAGTGGTAAACATAAGCTTTTAAGGCTCTTATTTTGAAATCATCAGTAAGCTTTCATTTAAAAGGGTAAAGTATATAATTTTCCATTGCTGTGTTTTCCCAATTCTATGTTTTAAATTGCTTTGTTAAATAAGTATGAAAGCTTTTATTTTATAGTCTGTTCAGATTCTCTTTAGGACATCTAGCATAGATATCCCTTCAAATTTGGTAAATATTTTCATTACGACACTAAAAACATTCTTCCATACTAGACTGCTCAGCATACTCCTTTATCAGCCTCAAAATTAGATGGTAACTATGGAAACTTAACACATTTATAGACTAGAAAAGACTATCCTTTGATTTGAAAATTACTTTAACTGTTTGTCAGTGGGTACATGTTTTTTTTTTCTAGCAGGTAAGTATTCCTGAATGTTAGTACAATTTGTGACACAGATTTTTTAGCAAAAAAACAAACAAAGAAAAAACAAAACAAAACTGCACATATTGAAAGGTTGACAGGACTAGAGGCTGGTCGTCAAGGGAAACATATTTAGTCATACAGTTAATTTAAGGAGTTCATTATGGGGTTGCATGTCACTATAAATCAGGTCGTGTTAAATGCAGAATGTGGAAATCAACTTGGACTTTTAATTGAGCCGCAATGCTTTGTGGCGAGGTCTTAACGAGGCTGGTGGGATTTGTTCGCATAATGAATGACTTTGACTAAATGAATCCATCTACATCAATTCTTTTGGTTAAGCATTAAAATGTCCTCTTTTATTAATTTTTGCAGTCTGCAGCAATAGTTATGAGTCTACATGTCTGTATTGCTGTTTCAAAACAAACATGGAAGGTCAGATCACTCCATAATGAATTAAGGAGGTAAAAGTTTTTTGTAAATAGTTTTCAAAGTTAAACACAGAATAAAGTTTTGAAATATACTTTAAATTTGTAAACAATAACCACAAGTTTTGGACAGTGTGAGTTTTCTTACAAACCACAGCACCACTAGCCTCAATGACAAGCTGAAAACCAATAAGTTGGCAAATGCACTGATATTTTGTTATAATAATGCTGAGTATCTGTTTGGATTTAACAAACCCATTATTTTGAGTCAAGATTCAATTTGATTGCTTTTCATTTCATTTAAGGGTTTCAAGAAAAAACAACTTTACTTGGGTTTGGCAGACGTCAGAATAACTAATGCTGCAGATCGCAAATACTAACTCTAAATTGGTGCATTAGTAAAAATTTGAATATTTGCATTAGGAATTGAACCCTATGCAGTTACATTGATCATGAACTTATTATCTAGCATGATCTGACAATAAACAGGAAAGGCTACAATCACACTGTGAACTCAAGACATTCCCTTTCACTGTCTCACAATATTTTTGTGCACATATTTAAAAAAGGATAGATTTAAGTTTTTCATGAATCGATAATGGGTCATTCAAATCAAAATTGAAGTTTTTTAACCCTGCACAAGTTATTTTATTTGCTTTTAGAAGAATTAAAAATATTGATAATATATTTATCTTTATTTTTAAGATGAAAGATTCAGATATTCACTTGAAAAATCACAAATACTTAAAAATTAAAGACCCTATTATAAAACTTAAACTAAAAGCTCAAAACTAAGACCTAAATGTCTGATTATTTTTATATTCAGCTTAATTTTATGTGAAGTTCTGAATCATCAAGCTTATTTATAAATGAATAAATAATAGGGGATCCGTGTTATCAATAGATTTATTCATATATGTATTTATTCATTATGTAAAATTGGAAAATGCCACTTTACATGACTCTTGACTTACCCCTTCTACTTCCATCACAATTTTTTTTTTTTGTCTATTCAAATCTTTTTTTTTTCTTTTTTACTGTTTTAAATCCAAGCTAATACAAAAATACTGCCTGATAGTTAGAGTTAAGTCTGTCTTGGAAAGCAGGGCAGCAGCACTAAATCATTAAACATTGTTTTTCTCGACAAATCTGCAGCCATAAAAATTGAAACTCAATTCGCCTCAGGGGCCATCATCCTTTATATAACTGTTTTTTTTTTATCAGAATGCCAAACCAAGCTTACATTACATTCAACAGTAGCCAAAACAATAATATATATATATTATTTTAATAAATGAAAGAAGTTATTTCAGAGGGGAAAAAATACTCTTGTATTTTTTGTTGGAGGTGCCCTAATGCTCTAATTCAGAGGTCAGATTAGCTGACCGCAGTCCGGATCCAGACCCACCTGCTGACTAATTCGGACGCAACCTGATTTAAAATGTTTATAAATTACTGCATGTTGTCCGACGGCAGTGTCTAATTTCAATTGCGTCACTTCTCCTTATTGTACGGTGACGCCCATTAGCCAATGAGCGTTGTCAGTCTGGGTTGCTGCTGAGACACAGCAGGCAAATCTGTGGCAAGCCGGGTGATGGGAAAGAAGGAGAAGATGATGAGAAAAAGAGAGCAGAGAAAGTGTGGACTGCTGGAAGAACTGCTGTGAACTGGTGAAAGAAAAGTGAAATGGTGTCCTCAAAGATGACGCTGCAAATTTAGAGTATGTTTGGCTCAACCTGCTGCTGTGAAGCAGGATTCTCCACCATGAACATAATAAAAAATAAATATGGATTCAGGCTCAAAATGAGCACCTTAATATGTGCTTTAGAATGGCTTTGTCCCCATTCAAACCCAGGTTTAAAGCCTTGCAGGGCAGCCTAAAGCCCACTGCTCTCACTAAGCCATAAAAAAGAAAAGAAATAAAATAAATGGTCAGTTCAGGTGTTTCATAAAATATGGGAATCAGGAAATTGTCTATACACCAAACTCAAAAATTGTTTTCAACTTAAAAAAACATTTTAGATTTTAAAATTGAAAAATTTTCTGTTTCTTTTTTATATTTAAAAACCTCATTTTTATTTCAGCGTTAAATTTAAAGTAACAATTTATAATTAATAATGTGTCCAGACCTTTACCGTTTGTTGATTTTTAATTGGCGACCCCTCTAATTGAAAGAAGGGCCCCCATAATTAAATTCCATTTAGGGCCCCCTACAACCTTGAACCGGCTCTGCGTTGCATGACCTAAAACTGACACACACACACCTGCTCACCCATGACAACCTAAAAAGCAGCCAGATTCTCCCCCTCAGTGCCTTAGCAACCATGTAAGCACACATGAAAAGCAAGGGGCAAGAAACATAAACACACACGAACGCAGAGAGGGTAAAATAAGGAATCTACCACCCAGAGCTCAGTTTGATGATTTAAACGACAAACACGCACACAGAGAGAAAGAGAGCATCTGAATTCCTTCAGCGTTAACACTCTCATCCTTCCTCATTCCGATCCCTTCTAAACTCACATACCCAAAGCAACTCAAAGGTGACGCTATCGATCGCATTTAACTGAAATAAGATGAAACAATAGAATAAAAACTCCCCTATCCCGGAGTGGAGCGACGGGACAACTCTCCCTCTGTTCTGGATCCGCTGTCGGTTTACCGTCATCCTCGCAGCCTCTGCTTCAGCACCAGCCGCCGTGTTTTCGGGACAGGGGGGCCCGGAGGAGGAGGAGGAGGAGAGGGGGGGGGGAGGGAAGCCCCTCGCTGTTATCTCTGCTCCGCTCCGTGTCATTTACCTCCGTCCTCTCTGCTCCCTCTGAATCATCCACAGCTCAACTCAGAAATAATAAAAATAAATAAATAAAAAGAGCCCGTTATTTCTTACCTTCCGGCTTGTTTTCGGCAGCCATTTCCCCTCCGCCGCGCGCCTCATCCCTCCTCCTCCTCCTCCTCCTCCTCCTACTCCTCCTCCTCCTCCTCCTCGCCTCGACCTAGTGATGGGAGGGGTGGTGGCGGTGCTGGTGGTGGAGGGGAGGACCACGCGCGTGCACGGCGAGGTCGGCTCAAGGAGGGGGGCGGGTCTGGGAAGGAGCGGAGAGGAGGGAGGGGGGGACGCGGATGGGAGGCGAGCCTGCCGCGTTCGGTGATGCTATTCGCCCGAACGGTGAGGAATGGCGGCGGGGGTCCGCGGATGGTGAAGCCGCGGTCCTCTCCAACCTCTCCGCTTCTTCCCCGCTGTCCACGCCCCCTGATGCTCTCCCTCTCTCTCTCTCTCTCTCTCTCTCTTTCTCTCTCTCTCTCTCTCTCTCTCTCTCTCTCTCTCCCTCTCTCTCTCTCACGTCACTGAGCAACGTCTGTATTCGAGGACACCTTGACAGCCTCCCACAGCATCATCATCATCATCACCATGCTCAGCATCATCCTCTCTCCCTCACACATGCACTGTATAAAATATTCCCATTTTGCCTGTAGCTCATCTAGTTCACTTTCGCTTGTTTGTTTGTTTGTTTTTGTCTGTTTTGTTTTCATTTTCTTCTGGTGACATAAGGAAAGGGAGAACCAGAACAAAACCAAAACTCCATGTAAGCCTCAGTGAAGAGAAGACCTCACTTGGAATGAGTGGATACCAAAAGAAAAAACACTTTTCCACATCTTATGTGTCAAGTGCTATATTTCCGAAATTATAATAATATTTACATAGACCTTTCACTTGAACAAAATATAAAGGCAACGGCCTCAGCAGCCTCAAGTGCATATATATGGGCGACAGTGGCGTTGGATGGAGGAGTTTGCCCTGTAATCGAAGGGTTGACGGTTCAAGCCCCGACTCCGACTTTCATTGTCGTTGTGTCCTTGGGCAAGACACTTCACCTGCATTGTCTACTGATGGTGGTCAGAGGGCCCGGTGGCGCCAGTGTACGGCAGCCTCGCTTCTGTCAGTGAGCCCCAGGGCAGCTGTGGCTACAATGTAGCTTGCCACCATCTGAGTGTGTGTGTGAATGGGTGAATGAATGTAGTGTAAAGCGCTTTGGTCAAGTCTCCTAACTTGAATAAAGGTGCTATATAAGTACATGCCATTTACCATTTACCATATATATATATACACATCTAACTGAGCTGGGTTTTTTATTTTATTTCAGTATTATATCAGAAAAAAGTATTGAGAACTCTGACTTTAATCTCAGAATTCTGACTTTTTTCCCTTGAATTCTGACTTTGATCTCAGAATTCTGACTGAGTTCTCAGAATTCAGTCAGAATTTTGGATCTTAATGTAGATGGGCACCATGAAGGAAGAGATGTGGGAGAACTCAGCTTCACTGACAGATATGTGAGTTGTCTGAGAGGACCAGTAACACATTGGTGGAAAATGACGGAAAATATATATATATTTATTTATTTTATTTTATTTATTGTATTTTATTATTATTATTATTTTTATTTTTTTTTTGTTAAGAATGCTCAGTGCTAATTCTCTGCCAGCCACATTTTTTGTAATTGTTGCCTAAAAGTTTTGGGCTGACACCTTTATTCAGTGATGTTTTGATTTTGATCCCCTGCAGCATTTCTGTACGCTAAGACTTAAGCTAAAATATGTACATTTGTTAAAATTTGTTAAAGTATTTATCCATCTTTATCATATTTTTCTATGTATTTCAGCCTGACAGTGTCATTGTGTTTTTTGTGCCTACTGGTATGGTAAGGGAATTTTGACTTTTCTTATGCAAAGTTTTATTTCTTGCCCTGAATGACTTTTCTTCTTATGTGTGATGGGTGTGTAGAGTCCAAAAATTTTTAAATAATCAGAGTTAGGGCGACAAAAGACATCTTATATATATTTGGAGAATATAATTATCTCCACAGTAAAAAAAAAAAAAGATAATAATTGCTCATTAATTAAAAATACCTTTCTTAGTTTTAGTTTAAGTTTAATTATTCAATAATACCAAGTAATTTTAACAAAACATTTCGGATTTAGACCAGAATTTAAATTTTTCGCATTTTTTTTTTACGTTGAGACAACATGTACGATTTTACAGTGCACAAACACACAACTGTTCTCCAGCCTACACACGCAAACATAAGCACAAACACACAACCTTACACGCACAGACACTTTCCTCGCACGCAAACTCAGCGGGGTGTTGAGAAAATGCGATGTAAGGTCGCGCCTCGTCATAAATGATGAACTACCTCCTGAATTTCAATGAAAAAAAAAAAAAACCTGCCTGAAAGACACTTTTTTTCTTTTTCTTGTTGGAATAAGGCGCGTGGGCTGACGGGGTGCTGTCACTCGCCCGTGGTGCTGAAGCTCGCGGTGCTGAAAGGACAGCTCCGCACGCGCGCCTACACGAATTGCGTGCTCACTCTATCGGCTTTCTGTGGTGTTATTAAACCGAAGCGATGATGGGTCAGAAGCGAACTTACAGAAGGAAATGAAAAACATGCCCCCAATGTTCTCTTATTTAGGCTCTGGCAGTAAATCGTTAAAACGCTGTTATAATATCCCCGCAGAAAGTTTAGATTACGAGGAGCCAATCACAATACCCTCACTAAAGGGCTATTTATAATTCAAACGCTCTATTCTCGGTTATCCCTTCTAAATAGCAGGGCTTAACTGGGACCATTATGGTGCTGTTTCCAGCCCACACCGTTGTCACTCTGCCGCGGGGTAAAGAACCGCTTCTGCACTAAAGCCTCCGGTTTGACAGGGACAATCCCCTCTCTAGACAGGCGCTCTTTGGAAGACGGAGGTTTTGGATGGTTCTACCTTGGCTGTACTCTGTTCTGCTTTGTCCTTGGAAAAAGGCACAAAACGTTCAGGAGGAAGACGTGCTGTGATAGGATGAACGCACCTGAGAACCATAGAGTTTAATAGTCTGATAATAAATTCTAGATGCTTTTTGCCCCTTCTTCCCTTTTTCTACTTCTCAAAGCAAAATGCAGATTTTTTCCCTCAAAAACTTAAAAATTATATATGTATATATGTTTTGAAATAAAAAACAATAGTAAAATACAAATAAATAATTCATCAAAGAGGAAATGTTACATACAAAATGAAAATAAGCCTAGATTAGACATAGATTAGATAGATAGACATTTTTTTCCGCCCATGATACTGAATACTGCCCTATATTCTACTGCACATACATTTAATGATATTTTGAGACTTTTTATATATATATAAGTACTACATTGTTGGAGAATATTTACTGAGTTGCATAGAAAAATAAAAATCCTTTGGAAAAAAAACTGCAAGTACACAGCATGGTTAAAATGAATGTATGTACAGAAAAGGCAAACCGCAGCATCATTAACACCTAAATAGAGGAAAACAAGGATCCAGTGGGCAGAGGAGAAGCAGTCATGGAGTGTAGGTGATTGGCTGGAAGTAGCATTTGGTGATGAATCCTGGATCTGCTGATATATTGGCAACATAGAGGATACTGGAATGATTGTTTGGTGGCAGTCTGAAAGAAAACAAACATCACATTTCCAGGCTCATTGAAGATTTGGATTGCATGTCAGGTGAAAGGAGAGGTGGAACGACTCCTTAATAGCTAAAGCAAAGGTGAGCACTGACATTTTGGACACTTTTTTCATTTCATCCATCCAATGAATGAATAAATGTTTGACATTTCATTAATATTTATGTACACTAGCTTTTATTTGGACATGGAATTAAAGCATAAAAGACATATGGGACATCTTGAGGATTTTTTAATCAATGCTTAGTTGTGGTTTTTTCGTTGTCTCCCTGTCTGTTAGGGTATGTCTTTTTATTCTGTTTCTTCCAAAGTGTGCAAACCTAATTACTTTAACATAACCATCAAAGTAGGCTCCATGATAAGGAAATCACGGACCTGCATGATAATGAAGGGAGCAAAAACTGCTATTTTCTTTCTGTTTGTACAAGAGATTAAGAGAAATCATAGTTGAGAACCAATTTTAAAGTTATAGTGGAGCTTAAAAATGGGGGGGTTATTCACAAAGATCTGAGAAAGCAGGAGAATCTGAAAGTGTTGAAGTAGGTTTTCTTTAAACCAAGGCTGTTTTTCCTATGACAACATTCTGACATAAAATTAGGAAAAAAATAATAGCAAAGTTTAAATTGTGTGTGTGTGTTTTTTTTTAGTTCTTTGTATCAGTTTTATTTCTGGGAAAATGAAACTGATACAAAATTTTAATTGTTGTTGATGTTTTTTTTAGTTCCTTCTATCAGTTTCCTTTTTATCAAAAATTAAATCATTATAGCATCAATAGATGATCTTCACATATGACAATTAGTGAAGCTTCACTCAATATTTTGTGAGTCTATCTACGTTTTTACATGTTGAAAGACAATAACCTAAAGTGAATTCACACCACTATACTAAACTGACTCCCTAACATTGACAATGGGGGTCCACCACAGTAGGATCAGACTATTGGTCCTCAGAAAGTTAGTAAATATACCAAAACGGTTTTCCATATAAACCACCAACAGCTTTCGTAGGTTTAGTTCTCAAAAAAGAGTTTTCCAAACTCTTAGCCAGTTTAATTTTCTGAAAAATCTGGTTCTTCCAGATGTTTCTAGATTGAATGTATCATACATAGTTATGACAAGACAAAAAAATCTTAAATTTTAATATTAGTTCTTCATAGGGAAGAGGATAAGAGGCACTGAAAAAATAAAAAAGTTAACAGATTTTTTAATTTATGTCAGTATAATATGAGAAAAAAAGTCAGAATTCTGTGTCAGAATTCTGAGATTAAAGTCAAAATTCTGACTTTTTTTTTCATATTATACTGAAATAAAATGTTAGAATCCGTTTTTTTTTTTTTTTTTTTTTTACATTTTTTCAGTGGCCCTAATCCTCTTCCTTACTTCTTTCTATGCTCATTGAAGTTTCGAATTTTTGTCATGCTAACTGAAACACATCCAGGAGAGGGCGCTATAACTGAACAGAGCACCTGTCACTCCACAAGCGTCGCATCTGATTGACCAATGAGCTTCCAGAACGCTGACGCGAGGGGCGGGACATAACGGCGCGACACGCAAACATGGCGGCGTCTACGGAAGATGATTTCGAGTTTAATACTCAGGACTACTATTCTCTTCTCAACGTGAGGAAAGAGGTATGTCTTTTTCTTGGACGTGTGTTAAGATATAACTCGTTTTGCTGTTTGACATTTTGTCTTTGACCCAAAATGGCGAACAATAGGTGCATCCTCCTTAGAGAAGGAGGAGGAGACCTAGATGCTGTCAGCACA